AAAAGATCATCATACACTTTATGTTTGTTTGTAATTAAGCACAAAACTGCACAATGGGCTACCTGTGCTCTGCCCACCACGGGTATCGAAACCCTGATTCTAGCATTGTAAGTCTGCAGACATACCGCTGTGCTACTGGGGGCACACTTTATGTTTAAAATCTAAAACAATATATGATTTTTCTGGGTTATCTTTTAGTATTTTTATCATTAGGAAATATATCCCAATTTAATCTAAATTTAATTAAATCCCAAAAAAAAAAAAAGAATCTTTAATATGTACATTTTAAAATTCAAACATATATGCAATGCCTGATAAATATTTTAATTTTTTCAAATTCAATTCAAAAATATTTTTTATAATATCTTTAACAATATTATTAGTGTTGGTATAAATAGAATCCAACTTCTTACAAAATGCTTTGAAATTAATCCATTTTACATATTTTCCCTAGTTTTTTCTTATTGTAGACATCAATATAAAACAATCGTTGAATACAATTCAATTTACTTAAAGATTCAGTAGTTTTATTTTGAAATTCCTGATTTCAACTATAAGGGTAAAGAGTTATCTCTTATTATAAAATACTTTGCCCTTTCTGTTAGAATGTCAACATTGTGAACTTTTACTAAGATAGTAATTTTAACAAAAGTCATGTCTATTAAAATAGTCTATTTCAATAGAACGTGGAAAAACTTTTTTACTTTGTGATCTATGCAAATTAATTCTCAAATGTAAAGGATTTGTAGTTTGATCTACATACTTAAGATCACATATACCACATGTTAATAGGTATATTACATTGTTCACTTTACATATTGGTTTTTGTCAACATAATGTTGATAGTCTGTTGCTGCCAGACAAGTTAAGCATCTAGCACTGTTACAAACAATTTTTTCTCAGTATTTAAAGTAGCTAATACATTTTCCTGGTTAGTAGCTTGCTAGGCTAAGTACCTGTAGACAAGTTAATGTCAAAAAAAAAAAAAATGAATGAATGAATGATAGACATTTTCTCTTTCAAATGATACCTTTTGTACAAATGGTATAATCTTACATTGTTATATTAGAACTTTGTTGGTGCATACATCTACATGTACAATAAAAAATTGTAGGTTATATTTTATATATATATATATATATGTATCCGCAAGAGAACCTCTAGTGGTCTTACGAAACACCCTATCACAGTGGACACAGGTAGTTTTAGGGTGGATAGTATGAGTTCTGTCCATTATCCTTGCTCAATGCAGAGTTGTGCTAAATATACCCTGGGAGGCAATACCAGTCATGCGGTGGGATCCTATGGAATGAAAGAGGAGTTCTGAAAAAGAAATAGTATGTATTCTTCTCAAAGATGGTGGAGTGATTGAATACTTGTGGAAGTTGAAACCATAAGGAGATAAAACACTTAGAAGGTCTAGAGAAGATGAATGTGTAGAGAAGAAGAAGGAAAAAAGATAACAAATCAAATGTGAAGAATAGTGAAATGGGCTTTGTGCATCCACATCCTGAGACAAATATGTCAACAGAGAAGATGAAGGACCCATACTGTAAGGGAAGAAGAAAAGAAGTCCAGGGAAAAATAGGGGCCCCCAGGATAGAGACAGATAAAGGCAGGGATCCCTAAGGAAAGAGGTTTGTGAAAAGACACACCAAACAGTCCAATATGACACTGGAGCCAAAATGAGTGTGAATGGTCCAATAAGTAATAGAGATAGGAGAGAAGTAAGGTTTACCTCCTAAGTGGTCAAATTCTGAGGAAGAAAGGATCAGTCCAAGGAGAGGAAAGATAACTGCTGTGAAAAAGGGTGCAAAAAGCATTGAAACAAATGATACCAGAACAATTGTAACCAAAGGGGAGAAGTAAGAGGAAACAAGTAAAGAGAGAAAGACAGTACAAAAAAATTAGGAAGTCAACAGCTTGAATGGTGTATGCATGAGATTATGCAAAACCTCAATAAGGTCTTAGTCAGGAAAGGGAGTTGGGCAAGGAGGTTGGGGGACAACGAAGGAGTGGAGCAGAATGGATAAGACGGGGGGAAGAAACACCTCTTGGGACCAAGAAAGGAGATGAACAAGACCACCTAACAACTAGGAAAAGCTGAGACTGAAAATGTATTGATGCACAGTCAGGTAAGAAAGGTGGTGCAGAAAATTGCTGCCCGGAGGAAAGGTGCAGTGAAAAAAACCAATGACAAAAGACCCATCATAGATGGTGATAAACAAATACAGTGGAAGGATGACAAAAATAATGCTACATTAGTGGAAACTCTGGTCCAATTGGTGACAAATTGAACAAATTTGACATGTGAGGGTGGAGGGAGGAAATCCCTCTATGACAAGCCTCGACAAATATTTTCAGATCTAGAAACCAGGTAAGCCTAACCTTACTTCACTACTGTTTGTACTTGGAAATGGGGGCTACACTAGTGCCTCAACTACCTGTGATTCTTGATTATCCACATATTTGTCTTTTCCCAAAATAAATGTGCCATTACAATTATAGACTTTTGCAAACAAAATTCAGGTGTTGCATGATATCCAGGATTTTTGCACGCAGGATCTTGCACATGTTCAAATTGTAATTCAGCCGGTTCAAAATATATAATATAACTAACAAACAACGGTTAATTGACAGCAACTGCCTAATTCAGTTTGATACTTGTGGAGAAAGTTGAAAAATGGAAATGTACATGACATGATTGGATATTGATTCTCATAACATGGGGTGAATTCTCTGAAATTGGCCATCTTATACAACTACATATGATATGTACATAAGCTGATATGCTTATCAGCCCTCCCAGCAGAGCTATACATGTTCCAGTGTTCCATATTTACACCATCAAAAGTTCTAGTTCATCCAAATTACACAAAATAATTTGGAACTTTCTCAACATAAATATTAACAATGTCCTAAAATCATTATTCCAACTCCCAGATTAACTAATATAAAGTACTAATTTAAAACAATGCACTAAAATGTACATTAGTTATGTTACTATTAGTGTCATTAGTATTTTATACTTAAAATATAAAATGTAATTAATACATACATACATACATATATATATATAACAGCCAATTGTCTTTTGGTAATGCTCTATTCATCTGTGTTACTTAGCAACAAAACTACAACCTAATATTGTATTCTTAAGTATGTATATAATACTTCAGGCATTATTTTTCTAGATCCTTTTGTATTTTAGTTTATGCATATACTTAGTTTTATGAAGACAATGTTTGGTCTTAAAAGCATGCATTTTTATTATGTGAAAATGTTCATACTTTTTTGTGTGATATTTTACAATATGAATAGAAAAATTAATGCTAAAAACTTTTTAAAATGTATTATATAACAAGAACTAAATTGCTGAAAACTTTTCCAATTTCTTCAGGAATACGGTTTAACATTAGAAATAGCACATAAACATTCTTGATAGTCATAATGTGGAGAATAAGCTAAAAAGAAAAAAAAAGTTGAATAAGAATCTTATATGATTTTCATAAATGTATATAAAAGTCACAATCTTTGGGGTGACACTACTATTTTTTCCACTGATTAAAATCTACTATATATATACATATAACTTTTAAAAAATCAGTTATTATTTTGTGTATGTGTAATTCTTGAGTCATTTTATATTTATGCTTGCACCATTCTTATTAATTTTTGAATATGTACTTGCAAATTTCTATTTTCTTAACTTTAATTGTTTTTCGTCTAGGAATAGGATGAAGGGGGATGTTTGATGAACAAAGCTCGCTGAAAGAAGGCGATGGAGGATACCACGGATGCTTTTTTTTTATACAAAACTCAAGTTCAAGTCATAATATTTGAAGGGTCGGACAACGCTGGTTTAATAATAATATGTAAACAAAATAGAATTTTCACTACAGCTGATATATTGTAATTACTAAGTTAGTAAATAATCGTAAAAGTATTTCAATTTTTGAATCACCCGTTTGGGATCACTATTCTGAGTATTCTATTCAGACTTTCTGTTTCACTTCGTTCTTACCAGCTTGCAGTAAAATCCACAACCACCAACTTGCTTCCAGCAGTAGAAAGCTCTGCTTGAAACCTTGCATCTTCGTGAATAATTGTAACAGGCATTATCAATTAAAAGTAAAACTGATGACTTCTGAACAAAGTTCAACTTAAGTTAATGACAGTTTTATTTCAAGAACAAAATAGCACCTCTCGACGTTTCTTTAGGTGTTAACTGGATATTTGCGACCTCTAGGCTTCAGCAAATTGTGTTGTTAGAGAATTTTTATTTATTTAAATAATTTTAAAGTAGTGCATAACTTACTGATTCGTTACATATTGAAAACCTATTTATCATATAAAATATTTACCAAAAATGAAAAGCATAAAAATGTCATTGTTATGTTTAAAAACAATTGTATCAGATTTCATTAGATTTTCTTGAAAGTTTATATAAATTTTCGGCACATAAGCTGTCAGGAATTAGTACTAACTTTCGATCAGATTAAGTTACCTATTTAGAAGCCCCCCAGTGGCACAGCGGTATGTCTGCGGACTTACAACGCTAGAAGCCGGGTTTCGATACCCGTGGTGGGCAGAGCACAGATAGCCCATTGTGTAGCTTTGTGCTTAATTAATTACAAACAAACCTATTTAGAACAAAACTAAAAATCAACAAAAAACCAATAATGAGTATAGTTGATTAATTATACTTTTCTATACGTTCCTACTTATAAATAGTATATATATATATATATTTGATTTAAGGTACATATTATATCTAATCTATTATTTATGTTGCTTGTGAACAACATAGTTACCGAAAATTCATATTCTATATCTGTACGCTAATTACTTTGTTTCCATCTTGTTACATCTAAGGTGAGGGAAACGTTTTCCTTTATTGGCTTTTGCGGTGATTCAACGAATGTGAGGAATTTTGAGTTCCATGCACTCTGAGTCAATTCTGAAGATTTTGAAGCTCTTGGACAATCTACAGTAGTAGATTTTTCTATTAAACTTGCATCTCCTTGAGCATGTTGTCTTTTTATTGATTTTATAATGTTATAAGCAATATTTGTTTTTAATTTAGATTTTAATACTGTTTTTGATTAGATGAGTCTTTATGTCCCGTAATGAGCGTAGTTTAAGGAATAGAATCTATAACCTTCTCATAAATTTAGGAAACAATTCGCATTAATGTAAAAAGCAAGTTAGGCAATAGTACAGAGATTATCTGAATATTAAATCTATTACTGTAGATGAATGATTATTATTCAAAAGTTTGTTAGTTTGGCTGTTACTGTTAGACAATTAGTTAGAAAATTAGCAAACGAAATGAGGGATCGTGCGCGAAACTGCTAACGCATGGTGACGCCAGTATCGATGCGGTCCCAGTACTGGGCCAGCGTGCTTCGAAATTCAACGCTTGGTCAACCAATAACTGAATAAGCCTGTTTGAGCGGTACATAAAATTCACTTGTTTTCCTGATACTTATTTAACCAAATTCACAAAAATCTGTGAGAAATGTGAAAATTGGAAAATTAGCTAAAACTACTGACAGAAAAGCCAATTTGGTCAACAGGTAAACAAAATAATATGAGCGATAATACTGTTACAACAGCGGAAGTCACGTGACCCTGGTAATGAGTTCTAGAAAGATCGGGGAACATCACTTATAATCCAGTGTTTGCTAGGCGCCCTGTATTCTTGTATATAAGTGCGCCAGACAATTAATCGGAATTGATAGCAGACAGAGAGATTGAAGATATAAACGGACAAATGAGTCAAGCGCGGTAGTAATTAAAGTGCGTGAATCGTTCGTTGTAAATTATAGCGTGTGTTTAAGTTAATCTGACTGTGGAAATTAAGTGTATTGCAAAGTTGAATTGAAAAAGAATAAACTAGTTTTATTTGAGAAAGGACTTGTATCGCTGACGTTCTTCGGAAAGAATTTTTACTGGTAATTAACAAACGACCAGAGACGTAACAATATTCTTGTTTAAAAATACTAAACTAAGCTTTCGTATTATTATATCATTTACATAAACTTTCTAGGATCATTCCTACATCATTATTATCTCTTTCTAGTACATATCTGAATATAACTTGCAGCTATATGTTGTAATATTTTTCCTCAGGCGACATGCAGAAGCAATGATATTAAAATAGATCTGCTTCAAATGTTTTCAATTACACCAACAGAGATTGAACTTTTTGTAATAACAAAGATGGACACACAATATAACCAAAATAACCTACCTAAATTTAGCACAACAGAACAAAATGACAATGTCATTTTGTCTAAACCAAATATATACCTCCATGGTAGTCTTTGGAGGCATACTGATGAGAGAATAACCAAAACTAAAGGCTTTCGAAGCTAAAATTTATGGTTTGAACCTTATATTTGGCACAGATAGTGTATTGTGCAGTTTTGAATAGCAAACAAACACATATCTTAAAATAATATGATTAATATGAATTTCATATCACATATTAACCCTCTGTTCTTCTGTACGCATCTGTTTTCCCACTAAGTACTTTTTATGTATCACCTTTAATCACTTGCATACAACACTGTTATATATATAGCACCTTAATTAAGTACTGTCTGTATTTTTCACACATATGGCAGTTGTGGCATGAATTCAGTTGTCTTTAATCTGGTTACTTCCCTATGTCAAGGAACAATCCATATTCTACTGTAGATCTTATCAAGGTGCAGGAACATATGGAATGAGGGTATTGCACCCCCTCTTCCATCTGTCAGCACAAATAGAATTGTCTGTGAAATCTGTCTGTATATTTTTTATTTATTTATTTATTTATTTATTTTTTTTGGTGAAACATTTGGAGAAAAATCAACAATTTCTTGTTGCGACGAATGTTTAGGCAAATAACGAAAAATGCAAAGAAATATTCCGCAAATGTCCGGCAAGAGATGATAAAATTTTTAATTGGACCATGTGACAAATGTTAGTCTGCTGACAGTTCTGAAAGTTCAGCACTTCAACTTTATCTACACCCTTTTCGTTTAAGAATATTCGAAAATGCCGATTCCTTTTTTTTTTTAAATTCAGAACGCGCTATTTAACCTATGCATATGGGAGGGCCAAAGTGCGCATATCACAATATTTTACAGAGTTACATTCAAAATTTAATTAAACACTTTATTACCAATGTATGTCTATAAATTCATTTTATAGACAAGATCCAGTTATGCAACTCCTGCCTCCTTTCCCAAATATAGGAATTTCGCTCCATAAATTCATATAATTTTAAAGAGACAAAAAGGAGCTTATTAGCCCATTAAGGATGTCCCTCCCAGCTCTCAACTATAACCACCCTTTACTATTCATGTATTCATCCAATCTTTTCTTGAACTCAGTAAAATTTTTTGCCTCCACAACCCTTGAAGGCAGCTCATTCCAAAAGCCAACTACCCTGTTTGAAAAGTAATACTGTCTAAACTGCAGACGACTCCTACACTGTCAAAATTTGAATTTATGTTCCATTGTCTTATTGTTTTCACTGCTAAACACAAAACGTTTGATGGATCTATATCATCAATACCCTTAATAATCCTAAACACCTCAATCAAATCCCCTCTGACCCTTCTCATCTCCAGAGAAAACAAGTTTATAGAAATTTTACTCTCTCCTCATAGGACAATTCCACCATACGAGATATCATTTTATAAGCTCTTCTCTGAACCTTATCCAACTCGCCCCTGTTAAAGAGAAAATATCCTTCTTGAACTTGTGGCTGTAGGTTAGAAGTAATCACCCCTCTTACCCCATCTTCTCAACTGTACACCCGTTCTTATTGGACATGTCTGTTCATTCTCTTGCTGCCTTCGAATTTAACGAGTATCCTTCCCTAGCGTTCCTTGTGAATAAAATTTTGATATCGCGGTGGCGCTGTCGTATCACTAACAGCAAAAACCCCAAAAAACATTAGGCCTACAATTTAGTATAAGTTAATGTAGAGTCTAAGGATAGCAGGTAACGCTTGAATAAATGGCAAGTAATTCAGAATTGTACGATTTTTACGTGGGAGAAGAATTTTATTCATGGGAGGAGTTTCAAGAAAAGTTGAAGCGTTTTATTGAACACAATCATATTCAATTACGTGTTCTACATTCAAAGTCGGTAGAAGTTGCGAACAGGTACCTACCAGAAAATGCCAAAAAACACCCATCTCAAAATAGATTTGCCAGTATTATGTATACTTGCGTTCATTACGGAAAACCACGTATTCGTAGTAGAGGCCTTCGCCCGAACCAGTCGTAAGTAAGCGTAATTCTTATTGAGATTTATAAATATGGGCTCATAAATACTTCAAATTTAAAATGAAAATAAATAATTATGACGTTAAGTTAAAATGGTCATTGTTCTTGTACTTGTAGTATTTGTTTAGTACTACTAATACTATTAGACTAAGAGTAATATTAAAAGTAGGTAGGTTGTACTTGTATAAAATTATTTATAAAAATCTTCATTAATATATATATGTACAGAAGGTTAAAATATTTCAGAACACAATTATCCCATCTTCAGAGAAATTTGGAAATAAGGTAAAATATTATTTATTAACTGATGAAATCACTTTCCACCAAATTGCCCAATGTGGAACAAAAATTCATATTCTTTATCATTTTATGGCCTACCCAAACTGAACAAAACTGGATACCCTCTCCATCCTTTTCTCTTAGGTGTAAGGTTCTGCAATTACAACCTCCAAATTTATCATTCCTATTTTTTAAACCTATCAGTTTGAATGAATTTACTATCACTGATTCTTTTAACTTTGTTCTCTAAAATTCTCTCTGGTGATCAATATTTTATATTGGACACTAATATTCTCCTTGAAGAAACTTTAAATTTAATTGTGGAACTTCTCTTTCCTTCTGACATTGAACATTATCTTGGTTTCACCAATAAACAATTCTGGAAACTTTTTGCTCTCTCCAAGAAGTTAAACTATTTCCTCTATAATAATGTCATTTATGATCAGATAGATGGTATCCTTGCTGGGCTCAATGATAGCCAGTAGTTTTATATTCTACCATGAATGCAAGTGGCTAGAAATCTGCCCATGTGAAATCAAAGTTGTCTTGTACAAATGCTATATTGATGACACTTTGTTGCTATTTTGAAAATCTAGTCACATTCCTAAATTTCGTACTTACCTGAATTCCCAACACCACAATATCAAGTTCACACCTGAACTCGAAGAAAAATGAATCTTTACTGTTCCTCAGCATTAGGATTACCAAGAAAAGTAAACATTTTGCTATCTATTTTTATTGTAAAATTACTTTTACAGGCCTGTATATTAATTTTAACAGCTTTATCCCCAACTTCTTTAAACAAAAACTAACCATGTCACTGTTAAACAGAAGTTTTAATCTTTACTCAAATTACCTTATTTTAGATAAAGAATTACACTTCTACACTAACACGTGTTAAACAATGGCTATCCAACTGACTTTCTAACAATCATTACTCACAAATTCCAGCTGCCTGTTACTATGCTCACCATCCACAGATTTCCCCTCAGTATTTTCCATCATCTTATGGACTCCCAAACCTTACAAATTGAAAAGTAACTATTTTTTTCCCTTCTAAACTTCTACCCTCAAATTCAGCTGAGGAAATATAAATGACATCTAGATGGTTTTGTTTTTTATGTAAGTTTTTCTTGTCAGATAATTGTTGCCTGAAGCAAAATTACAGATATAAATAGACATGCACTTTGATTAAATTAATTTTTGAAATGCATGATGAATTTTAGTTCTTTGATGATACATCTTTAGCATTTCAAAATAACAAACTTGTGATGGAAATAAACTGGTGGATATGATATTTTTGAATGAAACGTAGAAGCAGTTGCAAAAGGATATCAAAATATCTGTGTGTAGATCATGATTTATAAAAAAATGGAAATTATATACAATAAAAGTAAATATGTTGTCACTCACAAATAATATTCAATGACATTATTAGCTATAAACATGATGGAAATTAGCAGGATCTTGCACTAGATACAGTGACCAATGCTATGTTGATGTAAGAATAATAGTACATGGTTGACTTAATCTAGGATTTACTACCATACTGACACTGGTCATCCTATGGTCATGGATCAAAGGCCATGTTATTGCATTTGTAGACTCACATTCAAAGTTTTATTGAACTACTGTTTTATGAATGTATGTCAATAGGTTTGGTATCAACTTGTAGATTATAACTCAGATTTTAGTTTTATACATTAGTTAATTTCTTAATTTAAAAGTAAATATTAAAAAAAATCCTAAATACCAATTTTAGTGTGTCACGTGGTAGGTTGAATGCAGCATTGCTACATATTAGATTTTTGTGATGTCCAAATACAAAGTCTATAGTTTCTTACAAATTATATACTCAAATTACCAATATTAACAAGCTGGAATGTAAAATAAGAACCTCCTATCTTTTCTATTTTCTGAGATATTAATATATTTTTTGAATCAAACAAGGTGGTCCAGCCCACCTCTTCAGTTTTTCAAAATACCTGCTTACGTATACCTATTTCACCCAGTGACATGTGTATAACCAATCAAAAGCTCAGAATGCCCCCCTCCCCCAGTGGTTTTCCCAGCATCTGCAAAGTATTTATGCAGGAAACCTTTTTTTTATCATGCTAGATTCCAAGCAGTAAGGTAAGACATTAGTGAGCTTGAAAAATCACACTTGCATCGTTGCAACTTCTGTAATTTTAGTCAGGCATGGCTGAAAAGTCAATAAAATGAAAAAAAAAAATATATATATATATAGATGTATAATGTTATGAGATTGAAGCTATTTAATATAAACATTTGTGTTTTTGTGTTATAATTTGTAGTCATTCTAGAATGAAAAAAGCATAATTTATATCTATTTCCTAATTTTTATGGTGGTTACAAGGTCAGTCAAATCTACTAAACCTGTACAGATATAATAGTGAAAATATCAGATAAAGTATAAATTTTTTTCTTAAAAAATGTTGGATAATTATCTGGATGTTATAAAGATTTCGCATGTGGAATTAGAAAATTTTTGTACAATTGCACAAGAAATGTAGAATGGTAGTTTCACTGATAAAGTTTACAAATATACCATTAGTAGACCATTTGATCAAAATTATGACTCATAAGCTACAGGTAATCAAATTTGATTGTGATCCACAAATAAGATTGTAATTATAAAGGATAAAGCCAAGTACTATATTACACACATTTAAAAATATAAATGTGTAGCAGAAAGTTTCTATGATTCAAATATTTTTGCCATTCATGAATCTTGGTTGTCATTTATAAATAATAGAACATCAAGGTCATCCTGAATAAAAACCTGCTTCGACCCAATTTTCATAAATGCCTGCAAAGTTGCAACCTCTACCACTCTAGATATAGATTTATTACCATATTGGGAAATAAAGCTATCTCAATTGGAGGTGTTTGACTTTTTTGGACTGTAAGAATTGACTTGTACTTCTACTACTTTTAGATTTCAACTTGATAAATTCATTGCCTAAGTCTTATTAATTCCTTTTGATAATCTTAAATACTTCAAATAGATCACTTCTGCCACGTTTGAAGAAAGTGAGAACATGTTAAAATATTTTTATATAATAACCAATCCATTCCCAGAATCACCCAAGTAGACCTCCCCTGAACTTTCTCCAACAACTCAATGCCCCTTCAAAGGAGACTAAAACTGCAGAAAGTGTTCCAAATGATGCTTGCCTTTTATGTCTAATAGTCAACCTTCCTATGTATAAAACCTAAAATACTTTTAACTTTACCACTTGCAATAAAACATTGTCTTAAAGGCATAGGAGCTGCATAAACCAATATTTCAAGATACTTCTCTATGTAATTAAGAAAATTTTACTTTCAGAGACTGTGGTTTATTATAAACAAAAATGGCAACACTACTATTTGTATTTTGAGCATAAAAGAAATATATACTGTTAAAAAATTCAAACTTAACATGTTACCTCTAGTTGAATTGCATCATAGCTTGTATAAGACTATCGGCCCTGCTCCGTTAGTCTAGCATAACCTATGTATAAACATGAAGTATTTCATGTAATAGCTGGTGTTCTAAATTTCTTTAATTTCTAAATATTAAACAACTTAACAAGCTTTAACATTCAGGTATTAATTATTGTAATACTTTTGAAAGTCAGTCAGTCATCTTTTTTTAAAAAGAAAGAAAAAATCAACCACTATCAGTTTGGAAAGATGACTCACATTATTAATTGTAAAGTTTTATTGTCAAATTCAATCTTCAAATGGAAGTGTGAAAAAATTGGTACCAGGTGTTGAAATAACATGTATTAATAAAGTGAAAATTATATATTGATGGTGACCTTATTAATAACAACAACTTATGATAGATCACTAGCTACTGTTAGACTTATTTTAGGGAAGTTTGTCATTTGTTTAACAAGCATGGGGGTGTGTATTCTGATAGACTTGTATAATGGGATCTTGGAGGTCAGTGTATATATTGTTAAGAAAGTGGTCTAAAATTTGTGGAATTTAATTTTTTAGATAAGATTAATAGAATTATTATATATATACATCACAAACTTTCATGGGAAACACACATGTAGAATGAAGAAAAAGTTACAATTCAAGAAACTCCCTTCATAAGTACACTTTCAAAAGATACTTTTCTTCTTCAGATATGATTTAGTGTGAAAATTAAAATGTCTTAATACTTATATTTTTAAGTAAAGAATAAAATTAACTAGTACTAAAGCACAATTATAAGCATTTTATTGACTTTTGATGGCAACTGTTTATGTATTGATATAGATAGAATACTTAGTGCTTCATACACTTTAGTTCAAGACTTATACAAACATTTGTTTTGCACAGGAGTTTGAAATTGGAATGTGCCTCCAAGCTGTATATTTCATCATGCAGAAAAACTGGCAAACTGGTTGTTAAGACTTTTGTTAAGGAGCATAATCATGAAATCGGACCACAGATATCTTATCAAAAACAGAAAAAATACAGAAGTAAAAAAGGTAATACTGAAAATTCTATGAAAAAGGAAAGAATTAAAATTTTCTGTTTGTATACAGATGTTTCTGATTCATATATTATTAAGACTGAAATATTGGTATTTATTTTAGAGAAATAATTAAAACCTACAAACAAACACTAACTTTACCTGGCTATACTACTTGCACTGTGGTATACTTTTATTTCCATGATGTTAGTGGAGAATAGTTTTGCTGTAGTAGAACCCTGAACATTGTTTCATTAGTTTGTGGTGCACCTTCTTTACATATTTATTAGCTGTAAATCTGCTTCTATGATGCAACTTCATTTAGTGGCTATAAAACTGGTTATTTGATGCAGCTCCATTTAATGGCTGTAAAGCCGGTTCTTTGGTGCATTTTCATTTAGTGGCTGTAAAGCTGGTTCTTTGGTGCAGCTCCATTTAGTGGCTATAAAACTGGTTATTTGATGCAGCTCCATTTAATGGCTGTAAAGCCGGTTATTTGATGCAGCTCCATTTAATGGCTG